AAGAAGTATGCTTTAACCGAGGGACCGAAGCAGGGGTGGAGTTAATGGGGGCCACTCGCTCAGCCCCCCAACGCCCCCCAGTCATTCTATGCTTGCTACGGGCCTGCCATTGATAATTACATGTGGATTTGATCAAATGGGTTTGGTAATTTGGCGGCTTTGTTTTCTTGCGCGATATGAAATGATTAAAAAAATTCACAGTTAATGTCAAAACTAATCTTTTTGTATGCGTTGTGGATAGAGAAGATGAGCTGTTACCCAGAGATGATCTTCAACGGAGTTTTCAACGACGTTACGGCTCAGCAGTACATGGCATTGCTCGCCTGTCTTGAGTTTGAAGCAAAGGTAGAGTCCTGCATTCAGTTTCTAGCATAACAGGTTTTCCCGTCGTGGATATTTGTTTATCTGAGATTGTCAGTAAGGGGAAGTTAAAACCCAATCGAAAGCTATCACAGGAAATTGTTAGGTTTTTGTGGTCGTTGTTTTTGTTGTTGTAGTGGTTAGGGCTGTCATTAAGTTCTAAATCACCAGTTGTTCTGATTTGACAGTTGGTCCTTCAGTCAGTCAGCCAGTCAGTCGGTCGATCAGTCAGTCAGTCAGTCAGCCAGACAGTAAGTCACTCAGTCAGTCGGCCAGTCAGTCCGTCAGTCAGCCATTCAGTCGGTCGGTCGGTCAGTCAGTCAGTCAGCCAGTCGGTCAGCAAGTCAGTAAGTCACTCAGTCAGTCAGCCAGTCAGTCAGTTAGTCAGTCAGTCAGCCAGTCGGTTGGTCGGTCAGTCAGTCAGTCAGTCAGTCAGCCAGTCAGTAAGTCACTCAGTCAGTCGGCCAGTCAGTCAGTTAGTCAGTTAGTCAGTCATTCAGTCGGTCAGTCAGTCATCTAGTCAGTAAGTCACTCATTCAGTCGGCCAGTCAGTCAGTCAACCAGTCGGTCGGTCGGTCGATCGGTCGGTCAGTCAGTCAGTCAGTCAGTCAGTCAGCCAGTAAGTCGGTCGATCGGTCTGTCAGTCAGTCAGTCATGATCAGTGGAAAGTCAGTCGCACAATAAATCAGCCAATGATGAATTAATCAACTTTTCGATGTAGTGGTACGTCTCGGACACTATTTACGTTCATTTACCCTCATTGCAGTACATTACTTTTACAATATCGTAGGGAAATTCATGATCTCGTATTCTTTTTTAAATGTTTTAAGAATATGTATAAT